TTTTAGGTCCTACCACCACTCAGCAGGAGCTTTGATAGCATAGTGCCTAAGGCACTTGATTGCTAACCAGAAGGCTGGCGGTTCAAACCCACCAGCCACTCCTCGGAAGAAAGGTTGGGCAATCCTACTTCTGTAGTGATACTGCCTCAGAAACCCAAGGAGGGGTTGCTATGAGTTGGTGCCGACTCGATGGCACATAATAACAACCACCACCACCACTCGGCAATCTCCAAGCTGTCTGTGCTGTCAGGATCGCTCAGCATCACTGTCAGACTGCAGCTCCGTATGTCTCCTTTTTTGGTATTTTCATGCAAATTCTTCTGCTAGTTGGGGTTTAGTCCATTTCTATATCCTTCTCTCAAGGCTCAAGGTTCCAGGATTATCTTCTGTGTCTGTGTTAATTGTTTTCCCTTTTCTTTGTTGAAGAGGGTCTGTGCAGTCTTTCTGTCTAGTCCGCCATGTTACTGGAACTCCTGTTTTAAAGTTCTGCTCTGTAAATTCCTATGTCTGGTTCATCTGTTTTTATTGATTACTTTTTCTCTAGGTTATGTCACAATTTCCTATTTCTTTGTATGGCTAGTGATTTTATATTTCGTAATGAGTCAAGGGATGCCAAGTTGTAAGGAATCTGGATTATATTATTTTCCTTTAAAGGATATTGAGTTTAGTTCTGGCAAGCAGTTACATTGGTATTGGATTCTTCTGATCCTGTCAAACTTGGCTTTGTACTTTGTTAGGATGAATCTATTTTGGTTTTGTACTTAGTCCTAGGGCATAACCCTTACTCTAAGACGTAGTCCTTCCAAAGCTTGCTCTCTTTAGGGCTGTGATTAGATGCCTGTTTGACTGAAACACCAATATCTCCTGACACTGCATGACCTCTACTGTCTTTGTCACTTGCAGATCTACAGCAGTTACTCTTTGAGAGACCTTGCAAAATCTCACTCCGAGTATACACATCCGAGTCTCTGACAAGGCCCAAGGGAAGTCTTCACGTAGACTTCTAGAACCTACCTTTGAATGTCTTCCTTCCAGTTCATGTCCCTGCAAATTCAGCCATTCTAGCAGCCCAAACTCTTATCTCTGTTTTATCAACTGAGTGAGACTATTGACTGCTCTGTGTCAAGATAGTGCTTTCCTGAATTGTGATCAGTAAAGTGTCCCTGAGCAGAGAGCCAGGATGAATATGGGACTCACTTATTTTTCTTTCTGTCAGGAGCATGGTCCTACAGTGTCTGTTAAGCAGTGTCTAAGAACAGCTGCCACATATATTTTGTTTAGCTTTATAGTTATTTAGGGGAGGAGGGTATGTCCGATACCAGTTACTCCATCATGAGTGGATGCTAAATTCTCCTAAATAAAAGTCTTTTATTCTTAATCAGGGAACTTAATCCATTAATAATTATTTTTATAATTTATATTTGATCTTTATATTGTATTCTGTTTTTGATGTTTACTTAGAATTTCTTTCTATTCTTATTCTCCTACTATAGAGATTTATTATGATACTGTAATTTTTAATTCTACTTTATCTTAAATTTTTATAATATATTATTAAATCTTTATTAAACTAAATATAAAATAAAAATGATATTCTTATCCTCTTTTGAAGAAGAGGAGGGATTTGGAATTTATGTGCTCTTTTCCTTTTTTGTTAATCTGAGGTTATCATCACGATCATTCTTAATTAAAACTTTTAAGCAGTATATCCCTTGCATGCAACATTTTTTTAAAGAAAGTATTTGATGTAGTTTTGAATACATCAAGGTGATGAATACGTCAAAAAAGGAAATGCTATCTGATTATAGTGTTGTTATGAGTGAGATTGAGCTTTTTGTATTTTTTTTTTCCATAGAAATATCCTTTGCCTGTTTTTCTACTAGGAATATTGGTATTTGTTTTATTTTTTAAAATATGGGGACTCTTTTTCATTAAAAAAGCTAATTCTTCAAGAAATCAGCTACATTACTTTTCTTTTTTTTAATTTTTGCAGTGCAGAAATGTTTGATTTTATATGGGTGATTTTCTAAAACCATTAAAAAAAATACAAAATAATTAAAACATAATCCTGAGAGCATGACACAAAACCTCACATTTAGTCTATGAGCAGATGTTGTTGGTTCTACCTTCAAAGTCTATCTAGAACCTTACAAACCAGTACCTGTTGTCTGAACTATTGAAAAATTCTAATAACTTATTTTCTCGTTCTTCCAGATTGCCTCTCCATCTCCCAGTCTATTTTTCCACTCACTAGCCAGAGTAATCTTTCTCAAATGTAGAATAGAAATCTGCAATGGTTTCTCAGCTCATAATACAATCCAAAATCCCTACAGGCCTAAAAGGTTATAGATTATCTGACTGCTTTTCTTTTTGGACTTCATCTTCTACCATTTTCTACCCCCTTTGATAGTTTCACTGACTTCTGTAATATTTATTGAACATGGCTTCTCAGAGCCTTTGTTACTGTTAAAACTGCTTGAAATAATTTATCCACACATTGCACAATTTGCTCCCTTTCTATTTGAATACGATCCTTTTTCTTCATCAACTGCTTTATGACTCTCTCTCCTTATCATGCTTTTCTTTTAAATCTGACATACCTTTTAGGCAATCATCTATTTATTGTCTCCCAGTCTAGAACAGTACTATCCAATAGAACTTTCTACGATGATGGAAATGTTCTGTATCTGTGCTATTCAATACAGTAGTTACCAGCTACATGTGCGTGACAAAGCACTTGAAATGTAGGTAATGTGACTGAGGTACAGAACATTAAATTTGTGGCTAATGGCTACTGTATTGGACAGTGCAGGTATAGAATGTATGAGAGAAGGAACTTTGTTTTTGCTCATTGATGCAACCCAGTTCCTATGTGCCTGGTATGTAGTAGATAGTCAGTAAATACCTGTGTGTGACTGAATGAACAGGGATACTCATCAATCCTGTTTGTCCAGATACTCTTGACTCTTTTGCTCTTCAGTTCCAAATTAAATCCTTTTCCATCATCTATAGCCATTCTCAGACTTCCAGGTGTTCAGCATGATCCTTTAGGTCTATGGCTTCTCATTCTGAATCCTAGCATCAGAGATCCCAAGTTACATAAATGTTATGTTAGACTGGCATGCTTGGAAATGTGGGTCATAAATAAAGTAAAATGCAAGATAAAGGAGATCTTTTGTTCTGTTTACCTAGTGCTCCTTTAACAGAAAATACCACAAATGGGTTGTCTTAACAAACAAGAGTTTATTCTTTTACAATTTTGGAGTCTAGAAGTCCGAGTTCAAAGTGCCAGGCTTGACCTTGGGCTTCAGCTCTACCTCTTGCTCCAGGCCCACTGAAGCTGGAGGCTTTCTTCATTCAGGCAGCTGCTGGATGCTGAGGCTGACAAACCCAACGTTGACAAGTAAAAAGGCATAGTCCTGATACTACCAAACCACATGGCAGGCCATTTATTCAAGTCATTAAGAGTCCCAAGATCGGCAGACAACGTGGCAGGCTGCTGAATGAGTTGGCTACATACAGGATTCAAGTGTGCCAAAAGTTGGAGACCTTCCTCAAAGCTGCTGCTTATATACTGGAAGCAGACCACATCCCTAAAGCAGCTACTTAGCTGCACCAGTAGATCCCATCATGGAGTTGATTACCAAATTCACCAAAGGGAATAACTACATCTAACTGCCCAGCCACCCAAAACCAGGCCCAGCCAGTTGACTACCACATCTTCTCTATCATAAAGCTCATATTTAGATAAACTATTAGCATAGTGTCTAAGGCACTTGACTGCTAACCAGAAGGCTGGCAGTTCAAACCCACCAGCCACTCCTCGGAAGGAAGGTTGGGCAATCTACTTCCGTAGTGATACTGCCTCGGAAACCCAAGGAGGGGTCGCTATGCGTTGGGGCCGACTTGACAGCAAATAACAACAACAACATTAACTGACAGTAGCCTTTCCTTTTTGTGTTGTAGCCAGGCATCTGCATATTAAATCATATATTCTCCACGTTTCAAGAGCCCCAAATTTGTCTCTTTGCTCTTCTTTATTCCCCCAGATAAGAGCTCTTTCAACTTCTGGAAATTCCCTGAAGGTAGAGAACTTCTGTTAAGAAGTTTGAGTAACCATGCAATAAAGGCCCAACCATAGCATCAATTGTGAGGCTGATGCAGGACCAAGCAGTGTTTCATTCTGTAGCACACAGAGTTGCTATGAGTTTGAATGAGTTGGAACCAAATTGATGACACCTGACAATGACAAACTAGCATTTTCTTATGAAAAATCCTTTGGTTGTTATCTTTATGAGAACTTTCTTAAGGCTGAAAAATATTTATGATTACTTTCCATAACAGTAATTAGTTGTGGGAAGAGCTTAGCAGTTAAATAGCTCCTAACATGTACTCTTAAAACTTAAAAGCAAAGGTAGAATTTAAAGGAATGGATGACTAACACAAGTATTGGATTATTGATCTTCAAATTATATTTCATGGAGTTCCTTCAGGAGCTATTACAAAGGCCTCAACTCAACTCATAACTCATATTCTCCCCCTCAGTTGTCCTTCAACTCTTTATTTTATATGTTTGTACCATTGTGCAAAATTATTTTATTTGAAAATGTGCTTTAACTTTGAAATGTTTGCAAAATCACTGCTTTAGACTTTTTTAATATATTGTTACCCCAAGACTTTTGAAAGGAGCCAGATGACAGTGAATTCAGTGTAGAATTTTCTGACAAAAAGTAATCTATGTGGCAGTGTGCTTCTATAAATATTACAGCCTTGGAAACCATATGGCGCAGTCCTACTCTGTCTTATAGGGTTGCTACGAGTCAGAAACAACTCAGTGAGAGTGGGGTTTGGTATTTGGTTTGGATCCTAGTTTTGCAAATAATGAGGTTGGCATTATTATAAAATACTTATCAGTGGAACATGTAGAGTTTCAGTAGGCAGGGCCTCAAAGTAGTTTTGGTTTATTTAAATTAATCAAAGCCTGTTTTTCTAATTAGCAGGAAAACAGAGATCCACATCAAGCTTTTCGGTTATGGCTTAAAAAAAAGCATGAGGAGCAGATGAAAGAAAGAAAGACAGAAGAACTAAAAAGACAAGAAGAATGCTTGTTTTTCCTTAAAGGAACAGAAGGCCGTGAAAGGGCCTTTAAACGGTAAGTTGTAAAGGCAGGGAATTTTTTTTTTTTTTTGACCTCTCCTCATAGTCATTTTATAATCAATAAAGTTTGGAAAGAAAAAAAAAAAAAAAAACCCAACAAAATATTTTCTCTCTTACAGTGTTTACTTCAATTTTAAATCCAGGCTTATTTAAATGCATGAGATAATTCTTTATAGTTTACATACCATTCTTTCTTCAAGATACTTTTCAAAATTAAAACTATTTCTTATGGCACCAGTATATAGCCTTTGATAGCCTATCATTCATTTGTTTGTTTGTTTGTTTTCTTGCTTGTTTGTTTCTTAGAGAAACAGGTCAAAGATTCATTAGAGCTTCTACTAAGTCCTCAGAAAAACTGAATAGTGTTGCATTTACAAATAAATGCCTTTCTATAAAGTAGGTAAGTAGGCTTAGGAGGAAAATCTGTATAAATCAAATTAAAAAAAATTAGATACTTATTTGGGTATTTTAAGGCAAACCTCTCTTTTCAGTTGTCTGGGTATGACTGCATTACCTGGTTAAGTCTGAGAATACAGACTTGGCTACATAATTTTGCCAAAAAGCCTTGGAGAAGGATGGCATGGGTAGGAAGAGTGGATATTGAGTACAATTGTTTGAGGTCTTTTCCCTTTTTTTTTTCCTTCTTTGGTTTTCTTTCTTTGTTTTGTTTTTTCTTTCTTAACACAACCTTTTATTACAACAAAAAAAGTAAATAACATTGTGAAAATGGAGAGGGAAAAAGTAGTATTTTTATCACCCAGAAATCATTACTGTTAGTACCACAGTGCATATCTTCTAGATATTTCTTTGTACTATATTTATAATTTTGAAATCTAAATTGAGAACGTAGCTCTGGTGCTGTAGTGCCTAAGGCATTTGACTGCTAACCAGAAGGCTGGTGGTTCGAAGCCACCAGCCACTCCTCAGGAAGAAGATTGGACAATCTACTTCCGTAGAAATTATCACCTTGGAAACCTAAGGAGGGGTCGTTATTGAGATCATACCATAAATATTGTCTGAAGTCTGCTTATTTTTATTCATGACCTCATCTAATATCTGAGAGCTGTTTTTTCCCATTTGCTCCCTAAATGACTTAGAGTTAACTTGTCTAAACTACTATCCAATTCAGGACAATACAACATCAAGTTATGGTGTTCCTTATGTCTCTTTTAGTCTTACACAGTCATTCAACTGTTAAGGTTTATTTCTGAAACAGTTATTCTCTAATGCTCCATACACACCATATACACTTAGATATCAGATATATGTATGTGTATATGGTTCTTTTTAATGTTATTTTAACTTTATAGACTTGTTAGAATGTAGACATTTTTATACCACTTCTTTTGATGCTTTTACACTTCGGCTTATTTTTTCCATTTTAAGGAAGAACTATTTTATGAACCAAAAAAACAAGGGTCCTGTAATATACCTATCAATAAGAGCAAGGCAGCTGGAATTCTTAACCTGGTTAAATAATGTTTTACAGTGCAGCTACTTGAAAATAATAAGTTATATGGAATTTTTAATGTACATATTTGCACAGAGAAACACTTCTAAAAAGAGTAGGATTTTATACACATATAAAATACTGTGTTTATTATTGAGAAGGTAGTTAAGTTGGCACTTTCTTCTTAAGACAAATTTACCTTCAAACATCAGATTTACTTAGATTCCAAAAGTAGCTATGCTTCTTGTGTGAGCCTGGCATATAAGCCTGAAAATTTTCAGTTAATATTTTAAAAATTTGTGCTGGGACTACAGCATTTCAATGTAAAGAAGTATCATTTTTCTTTAATTGCTTATAGTAGTAATTTTAACCACAAATAATGTGATTGGGCTCATAGTAACCAAAATCTGCTCATGGGTCTCTCTACAGATGGCTAAGAAGGAAACGCATAGAAAAACTGTTAGAGCAACAAGCTGTCAAAGAGAGAAGTAGACAGCTCCGACTAGAAGCAAAGCATTCCAAACAGTTACAGAATCACCTATATAGTATGTCAGAAGCCAAATCTTTTCGTTTTACTGATCATTACAACTGAAGGTATCTATTAAATACTTCATTTGGAAGCTGCTATTCCTTAAAATTTTGGGTATCATTTCTTATCGCCTTTGTGCTTTGATCATATTTTAAATTATGGAAGTGGTATTTATGTTTTGGTGATGTTAACAATGATTCTACCTTTTTTTTTTAAAAAAAAAACTAGAACAAAATAAATTTTTTCTTTTGTAATGTAGTAATATTTGTACCATCTTAGTTTATTCAACAAACTGAGTAACAAAAGAATTCTACATTGCTTTGCTTTGAAATTATTAATATTTTTAGCTGGGAAGAACACAGAAAGGGATGGATTTCGATCCCATAGTTACTAGTAATAATTAATATTTTAAAATCTATTTTATAAAAAAATTTCAACTGAATATTTCATGAAGCAGGAGGAGGACCTTCTTAAACAAGCCTAACTGAAGAACTTATGCAAACTTCTACTTATGTGAAACTTTGAATTTGAATATTTATAGCAAGGAGCTCTAGTAGCATAGTGCCTAAGGCACTTGACTGCTAACCAGAAGGCTGGTGGTTCAAACCCATCAGCCACTCCTTGGAAGGAAGATGGAGCAATCTACTTCCATAGTGATACCGCCTCGGAAACCCAAGGAGGGGTTGCTATGAGTTGGGGCTGACTCTATAGCACATAACAACAAGTGACAAGGTTGGTCTAGTGCAACTTGTTAGTTGTTTTGTACACACACACAAGATAGTAACTGTAATGCATAACACTATTTAATCACTTAATTTTGCTCATGAGGAACGTATGTAGACCAAGGGACCGTTGTTTGAACCGAACAAGGAGATTATGCATGGTTTAAAATCAGGAATGGTATGTGTCAGGGTTTCCTCTCACCATACTTATTCCATCCATATGCTGAGCAAACAGTCGAAGAAGCTGGACTATATGAAGAAGAATGTGAAATCAGGATCAGAAGAAGACTCGTTAACAACCTATGATAAACAGATGATACAACTTTACTTGCTGAAAGTGAAGGAGACTTGAGTACTTACTGATGAAGATCAAAGACTACAGCCTTCAGTACCTTCAGTAGGGATTGCACTTCAACATAAGAAAGCAAGATTCCTCACAAAACGGTGAGTAAGCAACATTGTAAGAAATGGAGAAATATTGAAGTTGTCAAGGATTTTATTTCATTTAATTTCCATTGTGGATCCACAATCAGCACCTATGGAAGCAGCAGTCAGGAAATCAAATGATGTATTGCATTGAACGAATTTGCTACAGAAGACCTCTTTATAGTGTTTAAGAGCAAAGATGTCAGTTTGAAGACTGACAGAAGCCATGGTATTTTCAGTTGCCTCATATGCATATGAAAGCTGCATATGAATGCATACGAATAAGGCAGACTGCAGAAGAATTGATGGATTTGAATGTAGTGTGGGCAAAGGATATTGACTGTACCATGGACTGCTAGAAGAACAAACAAATTTGTTTTGGAGGAAGTACAGGCGAAATGCTCCTTAGAAGCGAGAATGGCCAGACTTCCATCTCTCATACTTTGGTCATGAAGGGACCAGTCCCTGGAAAAGGATCTCATGCTAGGTAAAGTCGAGGGTCAGAAAAAAAGGGGAAAGCCCTCAACGAGATGGATTGACACAATGGCTGTGACAATGGGCTTAAGCATGGCAACAATTGTGAGGATGGTACAAGACCAGGCAGTGTTTTGTTCTGTTTTATACAGGATCTTGCTGTGGGTCAAAACCGACTTGAGAGCACCTAATGATCACAACACTTCCACTTGATAGTTCTTTCACACTCACAAAAGATAGTTAATAGTGACACATAACAACATTTTAGGTATGTTACATAATTATCCAACTTTTATTGAGTTTATAATGGTTGTTAGCATGGCCCATGAAGTAATAGTTCTAAATGATATATTGATTTATTGTTGTTGTTAGGTGCTGTAAAGTCAGTTCTGACACATAGCAACCCTATGTACAACAGAACAAAACACTGCCCTGTCTTGTACCACTCTTACAATTCTTGCTGTGTTTGAGCCCATTATTGCAGTCACTGTGTCAGTCCATCTTTTTGAGGATCTTCCCCTTTTTCTCTGACCCTCCACTTTACCAAGCATGATATCCCTTCTCCAAGGACTGGTCCCTTCTGACCACATGAACAAAGTAGGTGAGATGAAGTCTGGCCATTTTTGCTTCTAAAGAGCATTTCAGCTGCAGTCCACGGTATTTTCAGTATTCTTCATGACTTCTTTCAGTATTCCACTTGACTTCTGGCAGTCCATGGTATTTTCAGTATTCTTCTCCAACACCATAATTCAAAGGTATCAATTCTTCTTCAGTCTTCCTTATTCATTGTCTAGCTTTCACTTGCATATGAGGTGATAGAAAATACCATGGCATGAGTTAGACACATTTTAGTCTTCAAAGTGACATTTTTGCTTCTTAATACTTTGAAGAGGCCTTTTGCAGCAGATTTGCCCAGTGCAATAAGATGTCTGATTTCTTGACTGCTGTTTCATGGGTATTGATTGGGGATCCAAGTAAAGTAAAATCTTTGACAACGTCAGTGTTTTCTCCATTTATCATAATGTTGCTTATTGGTCAGTTGTGAAGATTTTTATTTTATATTGAGGTTTAATCCATACTGAAGACTGTACTCTTTGATCTTCATCAGTACCTGCTTCAGGTCTTCTTCACTTTCAGCAAGCAAGGGAGTGTCACATGCATATCACAGGTTGTTAATGAGTCTTCCTCCAACCCTGATGCCATGTTCTTCTTCATATAGTCCAGCTTTGTGGATTATTTGCTCAGCATACAGATTGAGTAAGTGAAAAGATACAACCCTGATGCATGCCCTTCCTGATTTTAAACCATGTAGTATTTCCTTGTTCTTTTCAAATGATAGCCTCTGAGTCCATGCAGAGGTTCCTCATGAGCACAATTAAGTATTTTGGAATTCCTTTTCTTTCCAATATTATCCATAATTTGTTGTGATCCACATAGTCAAATGCCTTTGCACAATCAATAAAATGGGGTAAACAACTTTGTGGCATTCTTTGCTTTCAGCCAATGATATCCCTCATTCATTCTTCTGAATCCAGGTTGCATTTTTGGAAGTTACCTGTCAGTATACCACTACAACCATATTTTTAATTATTTTCAGCAAAATTTTACTTGTGTGTGATATTAATGATATTATTTGATAATTTCCACATTCTGTTGGATCACCTTTCTTTGGAATGGGCACAAATATGATCTCTTCCAGTCAGTTGGTCAGGTGCTGTCTTCCAGATTTCATGGCATAGACAAGTAAGCTCCTCCAGCATTGCATCTGTTTGTTGAAACATCTTAATTGGTACTCCATCAATCCTGGAGCCTTGATTTTCAACAATTCCTTCAGTGCAGCTTGGATTTCTTATTTCAGTACCATTGGTTCTTGATCATATGCTACCTCCTGAAATGACTGAACATCTACCAATTCTTTATGGTACAGTGACTCTGTGTGTATTCCTCCTATCTTCTTTCGATGCTTCCTGCATCATTCAATATTTTGCCCATAGAATCCTTCAATACTGAATTCAAAGCTTGATTATTTTTTTCCTTCAGTTCTTTCAGCTTGAGAAATGCTGATTGTGTTGTTCACTTTTGGTTTTATAATTTCAGGTCTTTGTACATTTCTTTATAATTATTTACTTTTTCTTCTTGAGCCACCCTTTGAAATATTCTGTTCATTTCTTTCATTTCAAATTTCTTCCTTTCACTTAGCTACTCTTCATTCAAAAGCAAGTTTCAGAGTCTCTTGTGACATCAATTTTTGTCTTTTCTTCCTTTCCTCTCTTTAATGACCTTTTGCTTTCTTCATCTATGATGTTCTTGATGTCATCCCACACCTTGTCTGGTCTTCAGTCACTGGTTTTCAGTGCATCAAATCTGTTCTTCAAATGGTCTCTAAATTCAGGTGGGATATACTCAAGGTCATATTTTTGATCTCATGAACTTGTTTTAATTTCTTCAGCTACAACTTGAACTTGTATATGAACAATTGATGGTATGTTCCACAGTCAGCTACTGGCCTTATTTTGACTGATGTTGAACCGCTCCATTGCCTCTTTCGACAGATGTAATCTATCTGATGTCTGTTTATTCTGTCTTGTGAAGTCCATGTGTGTAGTCACTGTTCATGTTGTTGAAAAATGGTATTTGCAATGAATAAGTTGTTGGTCTTACAACATTCTAACATGAAACCTTTGGCATCATTTCTATCACCAAGGTCATATTTTTCAACTACTGATGCTGGTGCTTTATTTCCAACTTTCACTTTCCAAACACCAACAATAATCAAGACATCTTGATTACATGTTTGGTCAATTTCATACTGCAGAAGTTGGTAAAAATCTTCAATTTCTTTATCTTTGGCTTTAGTGGTTGGCCCATGAATTTGAATAATAGTATTAACTGGTCTTCCTTGTAGGCATATGGATGTCATTGTACTTTAGGATGGAATATTCTTTTTGACGATGAACGTGACACCATTCCTCTTCAATTTTTCTTTCCCAGCATAGTAGACCACATAATTGTCTGATTGAAAATGGCCAATATCAGTCCATCTTGGCTCACTAATTCCTAGGATATCAATCTTTATGCATTCCATTTCATTTTTGACAACTTCCAAATTTCCAGCTTTGTACTTTGTACGTTCTACATTCTGATTATTAATGAATGGTTGCAGCTTTTTCTTCCCAGTTTGAGTCATGCCCCATCAGCAAATGAAGGTCCCCGAAACCTTACTCCATCCATGTCTTTAAGGTAAACTCTGATTTGAGAAGGCAGCTCTCCCTCAGTCATATTTTGAGTGCCTTCCAACCTGAGGGTCTCATATTCTGGCACTATATCAGACAGTGTTTCATGGGCTTCATAAAGTTTTCCAGTTAACATATCAGACAGTGTTTCACTGCCATTCATAAGGTTTTTTTTTTTTTTTTTTT